CAACTGCAACAAAAAAAACAGCTGCGTGTTGTGGTGGGCACATGTAGTCCCAGCTACTTGGGAGGCTGAGGCAAGAGAATCACTTAAGCCCAAGAGTTGGAGGTTGCTGTGAGCTGTGATGCCATGGCATTCTACAAAGGGCAATAGTTTAAGACTCTATCTCAAAAAAGAAAAAAAAAAGTGTTTAACTGGTATGCATCGCTGTGTGTATATACGCATGATGCATGCACACTCACACACATATATCCTGACAGCTGTGTGCACGCGTGCCTGAGCAGGGCTGCAGCTCCAGTGCGCCCAGACTAGGAGCCAAAGGGGATGGAAACGCAGCCTGCATTTCACTTGCTGGGCTGCACAACCTACTTCAGGCCACACCATTCTTAGAAAAGAGGTACCTTCTGCAACTTTGCCCAAGCCTCAAACCTCCCGTTGTCTACTTGGATGCTTTCCTCTCAAACCAAAAGAGAGCAGCCCAGAGCTAAGGCCTGGCCCAGCTAAAACAGTAAATAAAATGAGGATGGTGCCTTTTCCCAAGAGCCCAGAACCCACTCCTCCTCTTCAGCAGATGTGAAGGTGGGAGGGAAGGGGTCACCCTCCATAAAATAGCAATTACAACATAACATCATTTCAGGGCTCAAAGGTCCTTACTACTTTTTCTGGTCCAATCCTTTACTTTTTCAGACCATACAACTGAAAAGGGTGTGCCATTTGTCCTTAGCTTCCCACCTGGTTTGGGAAGAACTTTGAAACCTCTCCCTCTTTCCTGTCTCTCAACTGCTTCCCTGCTGGAGCCTCCCAGCTCAGCCTGTGCTTTCTCCCTTACAGCCCGGGAACGCCAACCCCAGAGGGACCCAGCCCATCAACCTGAACCATTATGCCACCAAGAAGAGTGTGGCTGAGAGCATGCTGGACATGGCTCTGTTCATGTCCAACGCCATGCGGCTGAAGGCAGTGCTGGAGCAGGGACCATCCTCTCACTACTACGCCACCCTCATCACCCTCATCAGCATTTCTCTGCTCCTGCAGGTGGTCATAGGCGTCCTCCTGGTGGTCATTGGTGAGGAGCCTGGCCAGAGTCAGACTTTCTACCTGGGCAAAGCCCTGAGCACTGACCACCCTCTGTACCTGCAAAGGTCCCCAGTCAGTGAGGGCAAGCACCCTGTCCTATCTCCCTGAGTCCCACAGAGCAGATACCCACAGTACCCTGCTGAGTGACTGTCCCCATTAACTCCTGGCAGAGTTCCTTACAGCCTTTGCCATTACCACTCACTCCCACTCTTAGAAGACCCAGTCTAAATTCCCTGATTGCCACAAGATGAAGCACCCCAAGGGTGCTCCACACACTGGGCAGTGAGGGCAGAGGCATTTCAGCCCAGTGATGACCAACTTCCTTTGACTCTGCAAATTCTGATGGGTGTTGAGAGGGAGCCCCAGCCCATGGCCCCACCTGACCTGCTCCTCCCACGCCCTCCTCCCCACAGCACGGCTGAACCTGAACGAGGTAGAAAAGCAGTGGCGACTAAACCAGCTCAACAACGCTGCCACCACCCTGGTCTTCTTCACGGTGGTCATCAATGTTTTCATTACAGCCTTTGGGGCACATAAGACAGGGTTCTTGGCCACCAGGGCTGCGAGGAATCCATTTTGAACCCAGCCTTGGATCCAGGTAAGGAGGAAGGCCCCTGGAAGATCGGGGTGGGAGAAAGATCCCTTGAATGCCTATAGAGCTGGGGCCAAGTTTGGGGCCTGCCCAGCTCTGTGAGTGGCTGCTCCTACTTCAGTTCTTAGGTTCAGATTATGCAGCCTGGGATGGGGTGGGAGGCAATGTGGTTAGTGGTTGGTCTTGCCCCTCTGCAGGAGGGCAGATGGGGATGTGGGATGTCTCCTCAGCACTGTCTAGCAGTCCTTGCTGTTCAAATCATGGTCCACAGTCCAGCAGTATCAGCAAAACCGTGGCATCTGCAGAGTGCCGTGGCGTCTTAACTCACAGCACCTGGGTGCCTGCTAAGTCAGCACACACATTTTAATAAGCTGCCAAGAGGAAACAGGTGGCCTGCCCTCCTCACTGCCATTTCTCTCCTTTCCCTACAGGTGCTGAGTCTAGAACTTCTGCTCCTTCCTCCCTGCTCTGCCAGGCTCATGGGCATTTTCCACACAGCCCCTGGAGAGCTTCTGAGAGGGCAATCTAGATTTCTTTGCTTGCTACCTACTGACCCTGACTTGTGGTTTTTTTTACTGGTCCAAGTGAATTTCATCTTGGGCCAGAGTCCTGAGCTCAGACTCAGCTACCGTCAACCTTTCCTCCCCATTAGCGTCTCCGAAACCTAAGACATGTCTGCCTAAGGCCAAGTGTGCCCATTTTAAGGACTCTGGTTCTGACCCCACTCCACTCCTTCCCTCTGCTCCAGGCCTCAGTTTTTCCTTTCTGTAAAATGGACTGATTTCTGTGTATAAAGGTTTCTGCAAATCTACTGAGTCAATCTTTTTGTCTTTAGTCCCAAAGGCTCAAACATCTCAGCTGATCTCTGGATGCCCTTCTCATATGCCTTGGAAAGGGCTCCAAGGACCAAACCCCAGGCCTGGAAGATGAGAAGGGTTCCCCTATAGATGCTGGGTCTGGAACTGCTTCTGGTCCTTCTCTAGTGTGGGTCCAGCTAAGTGAACTTTCTTGGCTGCAGGAGCCTTGGGCTCATTACCATCTGGTACATTAAGTACAGAATACTCAGTTTGGGATTGATGCACATATGCACAACCCTTTTCAAGAATCTTCTATCAACATACTCTAGTTCTAATGCCATGGCACTCTACCCAGGGGGATAGCTTGAGGCTCTGTCTCAAAAAAAAGAAAAACAAAAACCATACTCTAGTTCTCATTATCAGTGTGTGTTCTGATTTTTGCCTAGGCCAAATAGAACTAGGAAGGTAAATCTACACTGGTAGAGCTCACCACTGCATCCCCAGCTCAAACAGACCTTTTTTTTTTATTTTTTTGAGACAGAGTCTCACTATGTCACCCTCAGTAGAGTGCCATGGCATCACAGCTCACAGCAACCTCTTAGGCTTGAGCGATTCTCCTGCCTCGGCCTCCCAAGCAGCTGGGACTACAGGCGCCTGCCACAATGCCCAGCTATTTTTGGCTTTTGTTGCAGTCATTGTTGTTTAGCAGGTCTGGGCTGGGCTGGAACCCTCCAGCCTTGGGGTATGTGTCCGGCACCCTACTCACTGTGCTACAGGCACCAAGCCAAACAGACATGATTTTGAGGCTGGTCTGCTGTTGCAGAGTGAGCCACACTCAGCTCCCTCCACTGCTCACCAAACCACCGCTACCCTAGGCCAGCCTTCTTCACCCAAGATGGGACATGCCCAACAAGAAAGGAGGGAAGGAAGGAAGGGAGGGAAGGAAGGGAAAAGAAGGGAGGGAGGGAAGGAGAGAAGATAGAAAGAAAAGCCAGGAGTTGTGGCTGATGCTTGTAGTCCCAGTTATTCTGGATCCTAAGGCAAGAGGATCGCTCAAGTCCAGGTGTTTAAAGTTGCTGTGAGCCATGGCAATCTACCCAGGGCGACTGAGAGAGACTGTCTTAGAAAAAGGAAAAAAAAGGCTCGGTGCCTGTGGCTCAAGTGGCTAAGGCGCCACCCACATACACCTAAGGTGGCAAGTTCAAATCCAGCCTGAGACCGCCAAACAACAATGGCTGCAACCAAAAAATAGCCAGGTGGTGTGGCGGATGCCTGTGGTCCCAGCTACTTGGGAGGCTGAGGCAGGAGACTTGCTTGAGCCCAGGAGTTGGAGGTTGCCGTGAGCTGTGATACTACAGCACTCTACCCAGGGAGACAGCTTGAGACTCTGTGTCAAAAAAAAAAAAAAAAAAAGGAAAAGGAAAAAAAAAGAAAGAAAGAAACCACTAACCTCCATTAATATGCTGAATAGAATACCTGGTCTATTATTAGATGGTGAGCTGCTCAGACAGGGACAGCACAGAGAAGGCTGTCCCCCAGACAGCAGGCACCAAGCTGGTGACAAGGGGTAGCAGGTGGTGTGGGAGGGTCCTCAGTATGTCACCTGGACCCCTCAGCCCAACCCTCTCCCACCATGAATGGGGAACAGGAAAACACAAGAACCTTTTTTTTTTCCCTAAGAAGATGCTATATTTAATGCTTTCCCTCCCCCCATCCAACTCCCTCCCTTGACCCAAGGCATTTCCCTGCATAGTAGAGGCCATGCCAGGCCCTTCCCCTTAAGGCAGATGGTGTGGAGGTAACAGACATTAAACACAAGGCACTGGCCCAGGGACTGGGGTTGGGGGAGCTGGGGAGGTAGGCTTGGGTGGGAAGGCCCAGTTGGTTCCTAGTTGTCAGGAGTGAAGCAAGAGGGTTGCTCAGCCAGTTCCAGCCTTCTAGCACAATGCCCAGGGCTGCAGCCCAGCTAGCCAACTTCAGCCCTAGGCTGTTCCCCACGAGCCCTTGGGGGGTGGGGGCAGCAACTGAGCAGGGACCAGAAAAAGCTATAGCCAGAGAGCAAGTATGGCATTCATGAGCCGCAACTATTAATTACAAAGTCTTTGACCTTCCTGATTCTGCAGAGGGAGACAGGGATTCTCCTGGATCTCCAGGGGCCCCACTCTCCCATCTGCCAAGCTTATGTCCTTGGTGAATGCAGACTCCTCTAGTAAGAGCCCATGGCTCCGAATGCTAGGATTTGGACTATCACAGCCTTGAGTTCAGCTGACTGGTCCCCAGGGCTCTAGCTGATCCCCAGGGCTCTGGCAGCCTACTATAAGCCCTTCCTCACAGCAGGAGGCCCTGCACTCACCTGCCCAAACAGACTTTGGAGTTCAAGACCTAAGTGTCCAATGCACCATCAGTAAATTCACAGCAGCAGCAGCAGCAGCAGTAGAAAAGTCCCCAGCCACAAAAGCACCAGGGATTATTAGTGCAAGAGAAGTACATGACCATCAGGTGACAGAAAGGGTGGCTGTAGGCTGAAAAGACCAAGAGCTTTTTTCCCTGAAACTGCTTTACCTTTCAGTTCCTTCCGCCCCTACTCCCTCCTCTCAGGGCAATGTTCTCACCTTCCCAAACTGCTCTCCCTGCCCCCTAGGCTGGGGTTCAGCGACAGCCCCTATTTCCTTTTCCCCTGCAGGCCAGGCTTTGGGGCTCTCCCTGCCTAAGTCAGTCTGCAGGGGAGCTGGACTGGGAGGAAACATGTCTTCCACCTTCCATCCTATCCCTCTCTTCCTGGTCCGCAGTCCTGTCCACATCCTCTTTCTCCTCTTCTTGCCATCCTTTAAAGGGCTTCTCTTCCTTCCCCTGCCTGTGGTGCCCGGCCTATAAGCCTGACCAGTTCCTCATCTGGTCACACCAGGAATATGCAGCCAGTTTTGTGCTCTGGCCTAGAGTGAGCACTGCCTGGGGGAAAAGGTTAATGCCCTAATTGGTGGCCAGCTGTCTGGTGGCTACCAGGAGAGATGTGCGTGTGTCTGGAAGGCACGAGCCTGCTCCACATGTGGCCAGCCCTCAGGAAGGGACAAGGCCCAAGGGATGAACCTCTACACAGGGGGGTCTGAGCCCTGCAAGTGGGGACAGTTCCTCAATGCACAACTTCACCCCCTCTCACAGTCAATGCTGCATTTGGATAGCAGTTTTGGTTTTCAGTAAAAACAAACAAACAATAAAATATGTCCGATAGAAGAGTGTCCAGTTTGTGTTCAATTCTCCTCATAAGCGCTGGGTGGATGCTGGAACGCACCTTCACGGTATTGCGCCCATAGGCCTCTCCTTCTCAGGAGCTCTTCTGCCCATCTCTGTTGCCTGAACAAGTAGCCCTCCTGGCTTCTTCCCCAAAGTTCTCCCTTCCGGAGGCACAGGGGGTGGAGAGGAGCCCTCTCAGTGGAGTGGGGTGTTACCTGGAACCCCTCGGGGCCCAGCCTTCATTCTGCTGCCCCCTCCACTCCCCAGCAGCAGGCAGGGGCACAAGGGGACCCTGCACGTCTAGGAGCAGGAAGTGGGTGATCCGGCAGGCAGGCCACACTCCGCTTACACCATCTTCATCTGGCGGCGGTTCCACATGCCTCGCTTTGAATGGAAGTAATGGAAGAAGTTCCTGAGGGAGAGACGTTCCACTTCCAGGCCTGCTTGAAAGATCCTGAGGAGGGAGAAGCAGGCTGAGAACAGAGAGAGGAGAGGCAACCTGGGCACAGCCACCCAGAGGACCCTTCCCGCCCCTCCTCCGCCCACCTCCCATGGGTGGTGGAAAGGTGCAAGGGGCACCTTGGGGCCTAGGCCAGTCACCTCATCCTTCAGAGCCTATCTGCTTTCTCTAGAAGGAAGATAACTTTATATGAGGACTGTCCGGAAAGTATCCAGCCAAGCGCTATGCTAGTTTTCAGACAGTGCTTTGATTTATGCAGTTCTCTGTATCTATATAAATAACACCAGAGGATTGTACATGATACACAGTCATAGTATTATTTTATCAGAGCATGTGGATTATATACACACTAGAGGTGGTGGTGAGGACTACAGTGACAGATGCCAAGTGCTCAGCCCACAGGTGGCACGTCCCGGTCCCCAGGGAGGCAGAGAACGGCATCAGGAGACTCTGCCCCAGGTCCCTCATTCCTGTTCTCACTTCCAAAACCCCTCTGGCAGGGCTGCAGGTAGCTAGGATTGGAAGCACTTTTTCCTTGGACCTCAGAGGAGGCAGGAGGGTTAAGAGCTATGCTGGAGTCTGCGATGGGGCACAGAACACAGCACAAAGACCCAGGGGGTGTCTGCTGGACTTGACTTCCCAAATCACAGCGCCCTTCAGCTTTGGGGTGTCCTTTGAACTGGCTCTCTGAGATCTGAATTATCTGCTGTGTAGGTCCCCTTCATTTCCCCTCTTTTCACCTTCAGTCTTCTGAGTATTTTTCTTTCTTTTCTTTTCTTTTTTTTTTTTTTTAGACAGAGTCTCACTTTGTGGCCCTGGGTAGAATGCTGTGGCATAGCTCACAGCAACCTCAAACTCTTGGGCTTAAGCGATTCTTTTGCCTCAGCCTCCTGAGTAGACAGGACTACAGATCTGCTCCATAATGCCCAGCTATTTTTAGAGACAAAGTATCACTCTGGCTCAGGCAGTCTCGAACCCGTGAGCTCACGCAATCCAATCCACCCACCTTGGCCTCCTAAGTGCTAGGATTACCGGCATGAGCCACCACGCCCAGCCAGATTTGGGGCAAGTTATTAGCTTCTCTTCAAGATTCAATTTTTTCATCTGGAAAATGGAGATAACTAACACACCTCACTGAGGTTTGGGGAGGAATAAATGAGATACAGGCACCAGGGATGCACCCAGAGCATCTAGCCAGCCTCCTTGGGAGGAGATGAAAACATCTTATCAAGGCCCCCTCCTTCCCCCAGTGCTCCTCACCCTGCCCTGTCCACCTCTACTGGATACCATTCAAGCAATTTTAGCCCTTCTACACCCCTCCCCCCGCTTTTGCTCCCTTCCCCTAAGCTCAAACCTCAAGGTCTTATCCTTTTCCCCTCCTTCTTTTGGCAGCAAACTCCATGAAAGAGGACTCTCCCAGACTCAGCCTCCACACTACCCAACCCTGCTCCCTGCTCACACGCCCTCTCCTCGCCACCTGCTGAGCCCACAGCTTGTACTGTGTTCTCCTTTTCTGAGGCTTCCACACCCTTGCCCATTTCCCTCCTCCCAAGCCTCTGTGTCCCCTGGCTTCCAGGGACCCATAACCTGGATGTCTTATTGGCAAAAAGTCCACACTCTTTCTTTTGCTGGCTCCAAATTCCTTCCTGACCCTCTGCCTGTGTCTCCCTTATCCATGCTCACAGGCAGCTGTGCAGGGGGACAGGATGCCCACCTGGCTGGGGAGGATGCAGTCAGCTTCTCCCATGACACCCTGCCTGGTGCTGAGGACAGTAACATTTACATATGCACAGCTCAGCAATTTTGCTTTTCCTCTGATGGTTTAATGCATGAGCCCCATGACAACAGACACAGGGAGTATCATCCCCTCTAACAGAGAAACTGAGTCTTGATAAGTAAGCAACTTGATAGCTTCCCATCCACATATGGGAAATCTATAGCCAATGAGGACAGCCAAGTGGCTCTAGCCCTGTTCCCCTGGGGGGAGGAATTCTAGGGGGAGGCATCATAGTCACCTGTCCAGCAGCTCCCAGTCTTCTCCGCCCCAGCGGTCTCGGAACTCCTTGGTATTCATGCCCCCAATTCTGTCCAGGTCTGACTTGTAGATGCCAAGCAGCCCAAACCCGTTCACCTCCCAGTAGCCTGTGGACAGAAAGAGCCAGGGGCCGAGGGGAGGAATGAAGCCTCCTGGGCTGCATGCCTAGAGCTTCTTCTGGAAGGTGTGGCA